AGATCGAAACATCATCAATGAACACAACAACAAACTTATCCAAATACTGATGGAAAATCTTGTTCATGTATTCCATAAATACACCATGTGCATTAGTCACATTGAACTGCATCACATAATACTCATAATGACCATACCTTGTTCTAAAAACAGTCTTTTGAATATCTTCAACCTTCACACGAATCTGATGATCCCCAAACCTCAAATCTATCTTACTAAAAACATAAGCACCAACCAACTGATCCATCAAATCTTCAATCTTCGGAAGTGGATACTTATTCTTGATAGTCACATTTTTCAGTTGTCTATAATCCACACATAACCTCATAGTATTTTCTTTCTTTTTAACCAACAAAATAGGTGCACCCCATGGTGACACACTAGGACGAATAAACCTATTTTCAAGCAAATCCTCAAGTTGACTCTTCAACTCTTTCAATTCAGATGTTGACATCCAATATGGAGCCATCAATACCAGACTAGTACCAGGAATAATCAATCGTAAATTCCATCTCACACTCTGGAGGTAAATCACTTACATCTTCAAGAAATACCTCCAGAAAATCATGAACTATTGACAATTCACCAATCGTTCGCTTTCCACCAATTTCTAATGTTGCCATAAAAGCCAATAACACAACACCATCTTGCACAGACTCATTCACTTGCTTGGCATACAAAAACAAATCTCTCTCAAAACTAGAATCAAGAAATATAATCGTCTTATCAAAACAATTTATATAAACATGATTGAATTCCAACCAGTTCATCCCAAGAATAACATCAAGCTGATCTAACGGAAGACGCACTAAATCAACCCCAAAGTCTTTACCAAAAATAATCAACAGACAATTCAAACACACTTAAGAAGTAGTCACTAAACCCATAGAAGGAGTGTCAATAACCATACTACCATTCATATCAGATAACTCAAGATTAACCTCTTAACACAATCCAAAGAAATGAAAGAATGTGTCACACCAGTATCAATAATAGTAATTGAAGGTGTACCATTAACAAAGCACGTACCTCAGATTAGTTTATCCTCAATAGTAGTCTTGGAACCATATAAAGCAAACAATTTCCCTCTAATTTAGTCCATCTTCGACTTGTCACACTTGGAACTAATGTGATCTTTCTCACCACAGTTGTAGCAAGTCACACTTGAAACACCTCTACAATCAGGAAACTTGTGACCTAGCTTGCCACCCTTGAAACACTTCACATCTGCATTTGTGCACTCAGGAGTGTGATGTCCTTTGTCACCATACCTGTAGCACCTAACTGGAGTAGAAGCTCCTCCCCCATCCGACTTCTTGTCATCACCTGCTCTCTGTTTCCCTTTACCAGCAGGGGTCATATATGGCTTCCCTCTGGATTTCCCATTGCCCTTCTTGTAATGCAAAGCCTTATAGTAAGCAACAATATCTCGATTATCCTCATCAAAGTTCCTACTCTTGTTAACTCACTCAAAAAATATAATATTTTATTTATAACACATAGCCTTCTTGATTTCAGGTCTCAAACCATTCACAAGCTTAAGACACTTAGATCTCTCAGCATTAGCAGTGCTGTAATGAGGACAAAACTTAACCAGCTCCTCAAACATTGTAGCATACTCTGCCACAGTACCATTATCCTGCTTTAGATCAAGAAACTCAATCTCCTTCTTACCACACACATTTTAATGGAAATACTTCTTCAGAAATACATCTCTAAAAAGTGCCCAAGTAACCTCTATCCCGTCTTCATCAAACCTCTGAACAGTGTTGTTCCACTAATCCTCAACTTCCTTATTAAGCATATGGGTGCCAAACTGCACCTTCCACGCATCAGAACAATTCATGACTTGAAGGATCTTCTAAATCACTTTCATCCAAATCCATGCCTTGTTAGGTTCGTGAGCTCCTTAAAAAATTGACAGATTGTTCCTATGGAACTTCCCCAAAGCACGAAATTCAGCATCTTCATTGTTGTTACCAACATTGACGTGCGATTGTTGCCCAATTTCATCTGCTAACATAGCCAACGCTTCAACAATGATATCACCATGCCTTCGGGCAACCATCGTCCTAAAATTCCAAACAACCAACAACACTCATCAGACAAACAGTACTGATTGTGTATATAGCATACATCGAATACAAAAAAGGAAATAAACACATTAATAATCTTGTCAATTCACTGACCATGCTCTGATACCACCAATGTAACACCCTTTTCTATCCCGCACAAATATATAATATAATCTGGGTAAATTAGCATGCACATCACAAAAGAGCGTCACATTTACTTCACGATAACAAATCTAATACACGGGTCATATTCATAACACACATTCAGAATCATGTTCCATACCAAAATACACAAGCATCTCGCAGCGGAATAATTCTTAACTCAAAATAATAATATTAATGATTGAAATCCTATACTGACAATCATATTATAAAATACTAGGCACTAAAATCCATCATCATATACATCTCAATCAACATAAATATCCAGAGAGTATGACAATATCTCTCAAATAAAAATGAATATCATAAACATAACATGAATCCAAAGGTTCCCCGTGTTACATAGACCAAAGCATGACTCACTACCTAGTAAACAAATAAACAAGAATCTAATATCCTACGACTAATCCTTGATAGAAGCACAACCACTATCCTCTGTACCTGAGCAATGTCGTATAAAACATCATTCTAATAGAAATGTGAGAATTCATATAATTATAGAAATATATAATAATAAGTAATGCATAATAAACATACATCAAATGAATTCATCATACTTCACACAATCATGCATTCAACATTCTTCAACATAATTCACATGATCTCATATAAAACATTTCTCAACGATACAAGATTCAAAGATAATCAATCACAAATACCACATATGTAACAGTCACACTGATATCACATAATGCACACCAATTCACGTTTCACAACGACATATATGACTCCAATATAACTCAATAATGCAATATACATGTGGTACCAAATGTTATCCTTACCGGTCCAGTCAAGTTCATCCCTCAGACAGATAACCACCAATAAAAGCTCGATTCGACCTTAAGCTTTCAAACTCCATTCGACGTTAGGTTTGAGACAAGTCAATGATTCTTATGGAATTACGAAACATTGCCTCTTGACACAAATGATACATGTGCACGTGCAATCTCAACAATCATATACACTTAAGATCATCCCTCAATCTTAATGATACAAGCATATTTCACATAATTCAACACATTTGAATTATCTTCACCAAATTGCATAACATACATATATCACATCATCAATCACATACAATGCATCCTAATAGTATTAATCATCTCAACACATCATTATAGCATGTAGAAAATAATTACAAACCATGTTATCTTCAACCAACATCAATTTCCAACAATTACATACACAAATCAAGTGTCATGTTTCTCATCAAAATCCATCCAAAGCCAATCCAAAACACATCGAATAAATTATTAAAATTCATGTAAATCAATTATAAATCATAACATACAAGACCCTCATTCAATTAAACAAAATAAAATATTTATGTTCCCAGGCAACTACGCTAAGCGCCCTCATGAAAAACCAGAAAAATCTTCTTACGGACAGTTCTGTCTTGTTATAACATATATCTATCATATATCATCAAATACAAACATCAAAACATGATTTCTAGCATCAATTTCATGATTTCCCATTCAAAACCTAACATGTCAAAATCTAGAAAATGAAGAACAAATCCCTAATCTCATGTTACTACCCATTACATACTCATATATAATCCCATAATAACAAGAAATCCCACCCTTACCTTAGATGTAGATTCTTTCTAAGTTTTTCCTCTTCTCTTCTCCTCTTCTCTCTTCTTTTCTCCTTTTCTTCTCTTCTCTTGTTTTACAATTTTATCTTTATTGTTTCACAACACCTTACTAACCATTATTTCACTAATGAACTTATCTCACTCACTCATTCTAATGTGACACTTAAGGCCCAATACTCATTATTGCTTATTCTAACACTTATTAATACAAAACACAATTAAATAATTAATCCAAATATTCACACAATTTAATTAATTACTACATCAAATAATAATTAATAAAATAATTACTAAAGAAAAACGGGACGTTACACGAGTCTTCTGGATATGGTGATCTTACGGATTTCATAGACGCTGAACGCATTGACTTTGCAGGGTCCTCGACCCAACCGCAACAGAAAAATCGTCGATTCGCACAACAAGTTAGGCGAGGATGCTGGTGCGGAACTACATGTCGTTATCGAGTCCCATGTAACTTTTATTCCCATTATATGACTGTTTCATTATTATTGAAAATCGAAGTCTCATTTACGATGAAATTGTCTTTTATTTAAAAAAAAAAAATTACACATAGACATCATCTGAGATGACTTAGGACAAATCAGACGTACCTAAACGTCATTTCATTTAGCGGTTCCTCTAAAAATTTGATTGAATGCGCCATTTGAGATGATTGAAATATTTTACCCATTTCTAAAATATAATTATCTATATATTTTTTAATATCTTATCATTTGAAAAAAATCAGAGGATCCATGCTCTCAAACATATAAGAACAAACTAAAAGAGTGTGAAAAGAGGAAAGAAAAAACAAACTTTAATTTATAGAAGCAGACTTTTGTTGAATACTGTTATGATTTCTTCTTAAGATCTCAATATTTATTATTAATAAAAAAAATCATTTGACAATTAAAAAGTTAGTAAAGTACTAGTAGTTTGAAAGAAACGTGTAAGCATGGTATGTAAACTTAAGCGTGAAGAGTTGAAAAGGTTGAATGTGGTTTAGACATGAGCATTTGTGAGACAAAAAATTGTTCTTTCTTTACAAATTAATTTTGTTATAATAATCAATTAATTCTTTGACCATTCACATGTATTGTTCTTACGCTTGCATACATATAAATATTCACACATTAGTCTTAGTTTTATATCTCCTTTGAAAAATGGGTTCAGTTTTAGTGTCTCCTCTTATTGGTACACTGTGTATGTTAGTGTTGTTATCGATAAGCATTGTTGACGGTGGAGTTGTTATTCCGACGACTCTGGATGGACCTTTCAAGCCAGTGACTGTGCCTCTTGACAAGAGCTTCCGTGGAAAGGCGGTGGACATGCCAGATACAGATCCTCTTGTTCAGAGAAATGTTGAAGGTTTTGAACCCGAACAAATCTCGCTCTCGCTTTCTGCATCTCATAGCTCTGTTTGGGTTTCTTGGATCACAGGTACACCATGCTTTCTTGTTCCATAACTTCAAATAAGAGGTCATAAATCACTCAACCTATCTTTTCTCTTATCGTTTTGGGATTCCCACCCAACTACTCTATGGTATTATCTCTTTCTACAATCACTTGAGTAAGAAGTCTAGGGAAAATGAAATGTATAATCTATTGTTTTTAATTGCTTTTCAAATACCTTCTAATACATTGATTAATGTATTCTAATATATTCATTATTTAATAAGTTTTAAAATAAATTTTGATATAATAGTATGAATTTATGAATTTTAATAGTATTTATAAAAACATAAATTCTTAAATATCAATGATAAATAATTGAAGTAGTATTAATTAACTCTAGTCAAAATCAATTGAAAAAAAAATTATTATGTATATTTTTTTTATAACTGGTATTTAATAATTGATATTGAATATGTAACTGCTGTACTTATTTATATATTTTTTATAATATACTCCTATTAGTATAAATAAATTATAAATGCCTATAAATTAACAATTTTTTGAAATATTATATTTTTTTGAAATATTAAAATCAATTCTAAAATTTTAGGATCACTCTTCCCTCTTTTAAAAGAGGAACCGGTCATATATTTAGTGTCATATCATATTGGTCAGTTTAATGTCAATTTTTTTATATAACTTATAAGTAGATTAATTGAAAATAAAAGAGATTACGGTGTGTATAATATCCGGTTGAGAGGTCTAAATTCATAATTAAATTTAAATTTGTTTTAAATATTTGAATATAATTGAATGATTATTAATTAGTTTAGTTATTAATAGTTTTATTTATCTATATAATTTGGATATAATTAAATAATTATTAATCGATTAAATTATTTTGGATTCGGTTAGAATCTGGTAATTATCCAAAATCCTAATATAATGAAATAACGAAGGGTTTTAGTTTTTTTAAATAGTTTGTTTGTAGGTTTTTAAAAAATACATTTAAATAAAATACAATAGTTTTTCATTTTATTCTCCAAATTTAAAAAAATTTAATCAAATTTAGAATGTTTAATTTTTTGTGATCAGTTATTCAACACATACTTATATTTAACCTTTAAAAAGTGTTTGAGAAGTGTCTAAGGAATTTTTGAAGTGTGTTAAACAAAGAAGATAAATAAACTTGTTTGACATGTGTCTTAAACTATTAAGCACAAGACACTGATACACAAAACGATACACGATACAGACACTTTGAAAACGATAATGTAAAAAATATAGAATATTATTATTTTTATGATAGTGTTTGAAATTTATTTATCCATTACTTAACTTATTATTAGAAAATTAATAATATTTTAATCAAAATATTCATTGAAGCAAAGAAAGAAACATTTTTTTAAAAACACTTGCCGGAGTTGTTGTCTATGTGTGTTGTATGAGTGTTACATGAGGGTTAAACAAAGATTAAAAGAGTGTTGAAGTCAAGAAAAAACTTCTTTTTTTTTTGTCTGAATTTTTTAACACTAGTAATACAGGTGTCGTGCAACACGCTTACTTCTAAAAGTGTTTGTGCTTCATTGATTGTACATGATTCAAATTCAAACATATCACCTGTTTTTTTAATATATTTGGCTTTAAAAAATGGAGTTTTTTCTATTGGTCTCACGTGTCATATGAATTTTTTATGCTTATCAAACACAAGGATACATGTAATGTGTATGTGTTTTATTGATAGGTAGTGTCTGTTTATTTAACACATTTAGCATAAAACATGTATGATTTTGTTAGTTTATATTTGCAGGAGAGTTCCAAATTGGAGAAAACATAGAACCATTAGATCCTGCAACGGTTGGTAGCATAGTTCAATATGGAAGATTCGGAAGATCATTGACTCGCCAAGCTGTTGGTTCTTCCCTTGTGTACAGTCAGCTATATCCTTTTGAAGGACTTCAAAACTACACTTCTGGAATCATACATCATGTTCGTCTCACGGGTATATAACACTCTGACTTCTACTACAAGCAACCCTTTCTCTCACATTGCACCAACCCTTCTTGAATTGTATTCTCTATTCTGCAGGACTAAAACCCAACACTCTATATCAATACAAATGTGGAGATCCATCTTTAGCAGCAATGAGTGATGTTCATTATTTCAGGACAATGCCAGTTTCTGGCCCCAAGAGTTACCCTAGCAGAATAGCAGTGGTTGGAGACTTAGGTCTTACTTACAATACCACGTCTACCGTCGATCATATGGCCAGCAATCATCCTGACCTTATTCTGTTGGTTGGTGATGTCAGTTATGCTAACTTGTATCTTACTAATGGTTCTAGTTCAGATTGCTACTCTTGCTCTTTTAATAATACTCCGATTCATGAAACGTATCAACCGCGTTGGGATTATTGGGGAAGATACATGGAACCTCTGATTTCTAGTGTCCCGATAATGGTAGTAGAAGGGAATCATGAGATAGAACAACAAGCCGAGAACAAAACATTTGTTGCTTATAGTTCTCGGTTTGCATTTCCGTCAGAAGAGAGTGGATCGTCGTCCACTTTCTACTATTCTTTCAATGCTGGAGGAATACATTTTATAATGCTGGGCGCATACATATCGTACGACAAGTCAGGTTAACTCTATGTTCGTCATTTTCTTCTCGTTTCTTCTACATTTATCGATGCTCCTCGTGTATCTCTATCTGACACGGCTGAAGTATTGCAGGGGACCAGTACAAATGGTTGGAGAAGGATTTGGCTTCTGTTGACAGGGAAGTAACGCCATGGTTGGTAGCTACATGGCATGCACCTTGGTATAGCACCTACAAAGCACATTATAGAGAAGCAGAATGTATGAGAGTCGAAATGGAAGATTTATTATATAAATATGGCGTCGACATTGTCTTCAATGGACATGTAAGCATATTGCTGTTTTCATTATGAATAATTGTTGTGCGAAATTCTAATGAGAACATTGATCAGGTTCATGCCTATGAGAGATCAAACCGAGTATATAACTACACATTGGATCCCTGCGGTCCTGTTTATATCACGGTTGGTGACGGTGGTAACCGAGAAAAGATGGCAATTACTCACGCAGATGAACCAGGAAACTGTCCAGAACCATCAACAACACCAGATGAGTACATGGGCGGCTTCTGCGCCTTTAACTTTACGTCCGGTCCAGCAGCGGGTAAATTCTGTTGGGACCAACAGCCTGATTATAGCGCATTCCGCGAAAGCAGCTTCGGTCATGGGATTCTAGAGGTAATATTTCCTTCTGTAGTCTCTACAGATTTGTGTAATAGGTCCTCAAATTCTGTGGTAGAATAGTAATAAATATTATGGTGTAATGCAGATGAAGAATGAAACTCATGCATTATGGATTTGGCACCGCAATCAAGACTTTTATGGCAGTGCTGGTGATGAGATTTACATTGTTAGGCAGCCTGATAAGTGTCCAACAGTCAAGGCAGTAGACATACATAAAACATGAATATGAATATTATGTACAGGTTATATGTAAGACAATATAGATTCAATATTTTCATCAACATTTTCTTCTACATTTTTGGAAAATTGATCTAGAGAGAAATTCCAATCCGAGACCTAGAGAGAAATTTATTATTATATTTAATTAACTATTATAATTTTTCTTTTTCAGACTCTTTCTTATTTTATCTTATTCTTTCTTTACAATTTATTTTCGAAACAAAACATATCTTATGTTTAGATTGATAGACCAGAACTGAGCATAGTAAAATGTAATATGACAAAATGAAGTAAAGTAAAATGGAACATATATTTCATTTTATTATTTGTGTAATTTTATAATTTGACGGAATAATTAGAACATATTAATTCATTCTATTGCATGCACTTTAAATTGAAGAATTGAAAATTGAAAGATTAAATATAATAGAAAGATATCAATTTCATCGTGTTCTATTACACTCCATTCATTATTTGCAAATATAAACTATAGAATTTAATTATATATCAATTTCTTCCATTACATTCCATGGCATTCTATCAATTCAAACATACCCTAAAAGTTTGATTGATGTGGTCGTGAGTTTTTGAATTTATGTTTTGAAAATCAATTTTACAACAATTTTGTTCGACGGCTTACATTGGAAGGAATTTATATTTTACTTAATTTGAAAATTTTTATACCAGAACATGAAAACAAAAAAAATTGTTTTAATTTTTGTTTTAAAACTAAGTCACCACCACAATGACTTATAACTATTACTCCAACCATCATTTTTATCACACTTCAACCAACATTAACAACTAATATGATTGTGCCGAATAATCACTTAGGATATTCAATTTATTCACCATCGACTACCATTATAACCATCAATCGATCAAGCTTAACCATTACTCTATTCACCATGATGTTTATCACCATTGACCAAACTTTAACTTTTATTAATCATTATTGATAACCATTTTAACAACCATCAATCGAAAATCATCATTGATAAAGTACTCCACTTGCTCTAATGTGCTCTCAAAGGCACCATTGACAACAAAAAAACCCTCTTGTAATTACTTAACTACCTCTTTAAAAAGATTAAGATTATTTTGACACATCGCACGAAGATTTTCCTCTACTTTCTTTTGATTTTTTTAGACTCTTTCAGAGAGATTCTGAGCTCTTCAATTCTTTTTCGAACAGAGTATGAGGACCAATTCACCTTTTCTAGAGCGTTCTCTATCTTTGACAAAAATACATGAGTAGAAGTCAAAACTTCATTCTTATCATTTACTTCCCGGACAAATAATTTTACCTTTTTAACCATAGTGTTGGGATACTCGAAAAGCTTCACGACGATCTTTATAACCAAGAATTTGTTGGAAGCGCCTCATATCTCCTCTAGGTATTAATTCTGCTCAATTATAAGGTTATCAACCCGTTCCTTAAGCTTTTATCTCCCTTGTCGGAGACAGACTGGTAAGGTGACCTCTCCCTAGGTAGCAACCCTTAATGCCAGAATACCCAACGCCCAACGCCCAACGAGTATGGTAAGCTAATCCAGCCAAATCCCTTCGACGAGATTCCTCAGAGAGACTCGATAAACATGTATAATCTTAATTGGAAATTAAATACAAAAATTCCATATCCATCCTCGGGCCAGGACGATCTAGCAACACAATATTTGACTCTATATAAACAAAAGTATGCCCTCTTCAATTCTAGGCTGAGGACGCTTTTGAAAAGGTCTCTTAGTCTGAATATCTTCTAACTTCATGGTGGAGGTCAACCTTTCCTTACATACTTTCCCTAGAAATATTAAAGACTTTATCCACCACGACTCGATCAAGAGAAGCCTGAACTTCCATCTGAGAAAGAAGGGCAGTAATTTGAATGACTTGCCCTGTAACTAAACTAGAAGGTATCCTGACAGGTGTACTAATGAGTTCTAAATTGTTGTGAATTTGAGTATAAATAATTAGCACTCATCGGCTTAATTTGTTTTGTTTTCGTCAATAAACCTCAACTTTAGTGTATATTCGGTATAGTTTATGTTATAATGTATATATTATATTATCGTATAAATATCATTGAGTTTAATTGTTTTTATATCATTTTTGGAGGTATTAAAGCATTGATATTTAGTCACTATTAGATAAATCATTGAATAAGTTTTCTAACGCTTCCGACTGTGCATAAATCGGAGTTACGGTTCTCAAGTTATGGCGAAAATAAAAAATGATTTTTTTCTCATGACAACGGAGTGCGCTTAGCAGGCTCTGTACCGTTAAGCGGGATCTGCGTTTTTCAGACTCATTAAATATGGAAAAAATCACATTTTTAGACTATGGGTTGAGTATTTTTGAGTCTCAACACCATCAATTTCATTTTTTATAGAGAGAGACTTATAAAAAACATTTGGAGGTTGCAATTAGATGATCAGGAGTCAAATTTCTCATCGATTAGTGTTGACAAATGATCAGCTGTCGTGGGCAGATCAAAAATGAGTATTTTGTAAAATGCAGTATAGCGACAATGGCTCGAGTCGTATCGCAAGGATTCTTGATTTTACTATTAACTAATAGAAATCGAATGGGGGGTTGGTTTTAGGATCGATTCATAACACAAAATAAGTGATTAAAATAAGTGATTATAAAAATAAGTCGATATACTGTTTTCAGGTTCCTGCTAATCATTGGTTTTTACCTTATCAATTCCCTAAGCGGCTTCGACCTCTGTTCGATTTCAATACCAATTGACAAGCGCAATAGATATAAAATAGATTGAATTCCCATTCCAAATTAAGCAAACGGATTAATATAATCGTGAATTAAGCAACACGATATAGAACGCGATTCAACGACTAAGCGACGTAAACAACGATTAAAGATTAGGAATACAATCATACAAATTTAATCAAGACATTCCATGAAACAATAGATTAAGCAAATACAATTCCATAAAATAGAATTGAAAGAGAAACAAAATTGAATTGATAAATTAAAAATCTTAAAGCATCGGAACGCGATTACAGTAGATCAACTCTGAATGTTTAGTTCCTCATCAAAATCGTAAAAGCAAAATGTATTTTTTCTCTATCATGAAAAAGGTTTTAAAAAAATTGCTATAGTGGCTGTTAGGTATAGCAAAGACAAGGATTCGGTTCATAACCCAACTGGGTCGAAAACATAACTCAGACCCAAAACAAATGACCCAAAACTTAAATATAAAATGCTGCAACTTCAACGAATTTTATGACCTTTCTACAGTCCGATTCAGCTCTCGACTTCTGAATGAAAATCATATCTCTTTCTCTTAGCTTTCCAACGACTAGTAGCACGCCTCATTCCGACTTTCGTAGCTCAAGTTATGAATTTATTCGTGCAGACTGCTAATGCTGAAAATAAAGTGCGAAAATCAAATAAGAGTAGAAATAAACTAAAATAGAAAAACACTATAAAACACAAAAATAAGCTAAACAAACCATGAAAATACATAAGTACAATCATGGAAAAATATGCATCAAAATGCACTGATCAACAAACCAAGGAATGTTCGGTTCCTCTTATTCTTTTCTCTTTGTAATCTCTATTTGTTAGAGGTTGTATGTATATTTACCTTGATTATATGTATATTTATTGCTCATGGTGTTGTATGAAACCCATTTTATAAATCAATGTTGATGATTGCTTTCTTGATTTGGGTTTTGATTGTTGCAGAAATAGACAGTTCGAATCCGTACTTAGAATGAACATTTATTGGGCTTAGACTCTAGAGATATATTTAGGCTTAATAATCACTTAGGTATCGGCTCTTAACGCATTCGTGTTGTTCGTGTTGTTCTGAGAGATTGTTGACGTGAGTAATACGGTTGATATATCACTTTGCGTTAGAGATAACCTATGTGTGAGTGTTAGGTGATGATATTTATGAGTAGTTTAGGTTGAGTACAACTGGGTAGTGAGTTTAATTCTGATACCATATAGAACATTTCAAAGTAATAATTCTGATGATTTTATTCATTGATCAAAGTACTATATACACAAAAGAGTCCCTATAATTCCTCTTCTATTAAGGGAATGAAATAAATTATTTACAGCACACATATTTTCCTACTTAATTTAGCTAAAATATCTTTGACTTATCTTAACACCCCCACTCAAGTTGGTGCATGGATATCACACATTTCCAACTTGAACAAAGACTCATTAACCACCTTACTTGCCACTCCTTTAGTGAGAACATCTTCTAACTGAAATTCAGATCTTACAAAAGGAAAAGAAATTATTCCAGCTTTAAGTTTCTCTTTGATAAAATTTCTATCGATTTCTACATGCTTCGTTCTATCACGTGGCATAGGATTGTGCGTGTGATACGGTGGGAGAACTGACTTGAGTGTTGCGTTTGTATTCGCAAATGTTGCGGTTAGCAAGAGTCGCCACCGACTTTTTGTTTTATCCTAAGGAAAGGTTAAAAAGCACAGCAAAAACCTTTTGAGATGTTTTCTTGGGTTCGGGGAGTAGATTATAGAAAGGGAAGGTATTAACACCCTTTCTATCCATGGTTATCCATGGGCTCTTAGTTACTTGCCTAGATCACTTGCCTTTTGTTTTCAATTGTTTTAAATGGTGCTTGAATGTGTGTGTGGGTTTTGAAAATGTTTTGAAAAGATGCCAATGTGGTGGCAACCTTTGTAATGATCCATGTGGGGATGTATACAAAGATGTATGTCTTTTGAAAAGGTTTTTTTTTTTTGAAAGTTGTTTTGAAAGTGTAGTGTTGTGTGGTTTTGAAATTAGGCAAGTGTTTTGTTTTGCAAGTTTGATTCAAGTAACTAAGAGGTTATCTACTCCTAAATTTCTCAAAAGATTATTGCTATGTTTTAACCCTTTTAACAAGTTTATTCCACCATTGTATTTGGTGGACAATCTTGTGTTAGGATGTGAAAGGGACAGGCGCGGGTCATTGTTTAGACCATAATTGCAACGGCGTTAAATGTCTTTGGGCAATTT